ACACACACACACACACACACACACACACACACACACACACACACACAGGTATGCAGACTCCTTATCTACTTTGTCTACCTTCTATTTCCATCCTAGAGTGTGTATGAAGGTGTCTGTGGCAGAGTAGCAGGTCTACACAATATGCATAGTGATTGTATAAAACAACAAAGTTATTCCTATGATCTCCCAAATAATTCCGTGTTCATAAAAGAATGGAGTGCTAGGTGCATTTGGATCTGGGGAGGGGTTTACGCCATATTGACATAATACTTCATGTTCTAGGTGTCTGGCAAATATATACGCAGACATAATTTGCATGGAAAAGCCCTTGTCATTTGCAAGGGATATGTCCTGGTACCTTCGTAGATCCTGAAATCACTTATCTCACTGTACAGTCATATTAGTTTATTACAATAGCATCTTAGTTTCTCTATTTCCTCATCTTTAGGTAAGAGTTGTTTGAAGATAAAACAGATCGATTATGTATTAATGATTCCCACTTGCTACCTCTTTTAATAGCCTAAGACTCATTCACATGAAGATTTCTGTTGTTTGGATTTTTAAAAATTAATTTTAATAACAAGTTATACAAGAAAATAGGCTTTTCTTGCATTTCCAACTTTATAAAATATGGCTGAAGAGTCTGAGACCACCATCCAAATAATTCTTCTTTTATACCTCATCTGATATAATCAATCCTAGTCTCCTCTATCTCTTCCCAGAGGTAACCAGTTATTCAGTTTGCAAATTCTAAGCATTTACATTCATATGTATTCAGATACCAATAAAATATGTACAGTACTGATTTCATTTTTATGGTGGGCAGGAGAGAAAGGCTTTTAGACTTGGACAGGAAGTACCTTTGACCTGGACTGCTTGCTTACTGGGCCTGAATATTACAAACACACACAGGAAACGTACTGAATACACATAGGTCCTTTTGTTACTCAGGATGCAGCACTCATTGCTGGCATAATACAATCCATGAGCCGAAACAAATGGTATGTGGACCTCAATTTTCACTCTTACTTTGGGCCCTGCAAACATTACTGGTGAGCAGGGAGGTAGTTAGGGTGTCTAAGGAAGGGCACTTTGAACAGTAGGTTTGAACTTGTATCATACTGTACCTGTTGTTCTATAAGTTACATTTGTCACGCAACCCTATGTCTCGGGTCTTTTTATGTTAGCTCATGTGGATCAGCATGTTCTTCTACACTGTCCCATAATCTCCAACTTATGGATATATCATACTTGAGATAGTCTACTTTTCTACTAATGAGCATTTAAAAGTTGTACCCAAATTTTCAGTGTTGTGAATAGTACTGCAGTGAACATTCATTTATCTGCCTATCTGTACTAATGTCACAGTGTTATCTTTAAAGGAAATACTGAAAAATTGAGTTGCTGAGTCAGATGCTATGCATACATATAAGACAGGGTCTCTGTCACCCAGGCTGCAGTGCAGTAGCATGATCTTGGCTCACTGCCACCTCTACCTTCCCAGCTCAAGTGATCTTTTCACCTCCGCCTCCCAAGTAGCTGGGACTACCAGTGTATGCCACCATGCCTGGCTAATTTTTGTACTTTTTTGTAGAGATGGGTTTTTGCCATGTTGCCCTGGCTGGTCTCAAGCTCCCAGGCTTGGCCTCCCGAAGTGCTGGTATCACAGGCATGAGCCACTGCATCTAGCCACATTTCTACAATTTTAATAGAGACTACCCAAGTGCTCTTCAGTTTTGCTGAACCAGATTATAGTCCCACCAGTAGTGTATGAGAGTATCTGTTTCTCCAAACCTCACCAATACTTGATATGACCAAAAATTTATTTTTAATTTTTACTTATGATCTGAATGAAAAATGACATCTCATTGCATTTTTTCCCTAAATATTTTAAATTATTTGTCTATACATGGCTCATTTGTATTTTTCCTTATTTAATAATATAACGAACTGTGTGAACTGAAAACCTATGAATCAGCATATTGCTAGTAATTTACATCTTCCTGTTTCTCTCCATTCCTATCCCTCTACCTTTCCTGTTACATATCCAATATCTTGAATTTTGTGTTTTCTCATTCCCTTGGTATTTAAATTATTTTTAGCGCATATGTTTAAATAACATATTGCTTAATTTTACTTATTTTTGCTCTTTGTAAAAAGGGCTATCCATACCATATATTGTCTTCTATAACTTACTTCTCCTCAACATTATGTACTTAAATTCATACATGTTGCATACAGCTCAGTTCATTTGCTTTTTCATTTCCATATAAAAGTTCATTAGGTGAATAAGATGTAATTTACTTACTCATTTTCCTATTCATAGACATCTGGATTACTTTTAGTAATTTGATCTTATTACTAGCAGTACCCATGACAAACATTTTAAAATGTCTCTGGATATATGTATTTCCCTTGCTGAAAAGTGAAATTGGTGGGACACAGGATATGCAAATATTCACATTCACAAGATAATAATAATGGCAAATTGCTTTCCAGAATAGTTATAATAATTTACTCTCCCAGCAGCAATATATAAGAAATCTTGTTGATCTACACTTTCTTCAACACTTTGTATCGTCAGAATTAATTTTGCCAATTAAGTATCTGGAAATGATATCATTGTTCATTGCTGATTTGTATTTCCCTGATTGCTTGTAAACTCCATCATCTCTTCACATATTCATTCCACTTGTTTCCTTTTCTGTGATATGCTCATTTGTGTTTTTTCCTTTTTGTTATTAGGTTGTCTTTTTCATATTGCTTTGCAGAAATTCTTTATATATTCTTACTTCTATAATTCTTTCTTAGTTAAATGTGTTGCAAATATCATCTCCCAGTTTGCAGATTGTTGTTTTTCACTTCTTAGGATATCCTTCATGAAAAAGTCTCTTCGTTTTTCTCTCCTTCTTCTTCCTTTCTCCTTCCTCCTCCCTCCTCCACCTCCTTCTCCTCTTCTGCTTTCCTTTCCTCCTTTTTTAAAAAAGAGGATGCAGAGAACTTTCATTAGATAAAAAGTGAAGTTAAGAGACTCTATGATCTGATTTGGGGGCCTAACCAAATGAGAAAACTGACCGCTAAATGGCTGACTTACAAGTGAGCTTTTGGCCATATCACCAGTGTAACTTAGGATCAGTCTTCATTTCCTTTATTATTTTTCATTTTGAATGTTTAACTGGATCCAAATTATAAGTCATTGCCAAATTACTTTGGAAATATCCTTTGTCTTGATTATGTTACTGCATATGGATGGTGCTCAAAATTATTAAAAATTAATTCAGATGTTTTCAATTTTGTGAAGAGATGGCGGATATTTTCTAGGTCAAAATACAAAAGTGATTTGTGATCTAACTATTGGTTATCTTATAATTTTTTCTTTTTTATTGAGGTAAAAAACACATATCATAAACTTTATCATGTTATCCATTATTAAGCATACAGTTCAGTAGTGTTACATTAATATTTACATTGTAGTGGAAGAGTTCCCCCAGACATGCATAGTCTCCCCCATTACTAGCATTCCCCAACAACTGATGAACCTACATTGATACATCATTACCACGCAGAGTCCACAGTTTACATTAGGGAGCTTTCTTATTCTTGTACATCCTATGGACTTAGACAAATGTATAATGGCATGTATCCACCATTATAGTATGAGACAGAAGAGTTTCACTGCCCTAAAAGTCCTCTGTTCTCGGCCTATCCAACTTCTCTGCCCTCTAATCCCTGGCAGCCATGGATGTTTTTGCTCTCTCCATAGTTTTGCCTTTTCCAGAATGTTATATATTGGAATCATAAAGTTTGTAGCATTTTCAGATTAGTTTCTATCCCTTAGTAATATGCATTTAAGTTTCTTCCTTTTTTTTTTTTTTTTTGGAGACAGAGTCTCACTCTATCGCCCAGGCTGGAGTGCAGTGGTGCAATCTCGGCTCACTGCAACCTCTGCCTCCCCAGTTCAAGCGATTCTCCTGTCTCAGTCTCCTGAGTAGCTGGGATTACAGGTGCCCACCACCACACCCAGCTAATTTTTGTATTTTTTGTAAAGACAGGGTTTCACCATGTTAGCCAGGCTGGTCTCAAATTCCTGACCTCAGGTGATCCTCCCACCTCGGCCTCCCAAAGTGCTGGGATTACAGTCTTCCACGTCTTTTACATGGCTTGATATCTCCTTTCTGCTTAGCACTGAATAATAATCCATTATCTGGATACACCAAGTATATTTGTCCATTCTCCTAGTGAAGGACATCTTGATTGCTGTACAACCCTCACATCCAACTGGACCGTTTTGTAAGCTCTATTAGATTTACATCAGTTTTAGCTATTGTTCTTCTGTTTCCACAAGAATTGTTCCAATTCCTTGGCCTTTCTAAATTTTTGTTCAACTGTTAGTTCTGTTTCTTAGCTCCATTTCAGAGGACACCATATAAACGCTTTATCTTTAATTCTGACTATTTATTGTCCACAATCAAAACACACACAAATGGATTTTGTGTGTGTGTGAGATCAGGTCTCACTCTGTCACCCAGGTTGGAGTGCAATGGCACAGTCTTGGCTAACTGCAACCTCTACCTCCCAGGCTCAAGGAATCCTCCCACTTCAGCCTCCTGAGTAGCTGGGACCACAGGCACATACCACCACAGCTGGATTTTTTTTTTTTTTTGTATTTTTTGGTGGAGACAGGGTTTTGCCATGTTGCCCAGGCTGGTCTTGAACTCCTGAGCTCAGGCGATCCATCCACCTCGGCATCCCAAAGTGCTGGGATTACAGGTGTGAGCCACTGCACTCAGCCTGAATTTTTGAGATGTATAACATACTGGCAA